GTCACAAGTGCACAGCATGTGGTTTCTGAAAGGGGGAGAACTACACATCTGCTCCTAGGAAGCAGTTATTTGTCAAATAAGTCCTGTTTCTGGGCAACCACTGCAGCCCCCAGGGCCACAAGTGACTTGCCTCCCCCAAAAAAGTTTGGAAAAGACTGCTATTCCCCGCCCAACTTCAGCAACCTCCCAGTTGGACAATGCAAGCTCTGTCCTGGGCCCAGAGATCCGCCTCTGCCCCTTCCCCCGCTCTTCCTGGTTCCCAGTACCCAAAACCTCCACTGAAGTTCTCCTGATACAGTGGTCTTCCAGCTGGGACAACCTGATACGCAAAGCCCCCATCCTACAGTCCAATCCAAGAACGGGAGTGAGTACACGGAGTCACAGACATGGGATCACCTCAGACAGCGGAAGAGGGAGTTCCAGCTTTGGTACCGAGATGGGCCTCCTTCTGCATCGTCAAGGTAAGAAAGTTTGCATGGCAGGAGGTCAGAGAGTGGGTGCTCCTGACACTGCTTCACCTTTACCAAGTAGCCCGATTCTCCTGTCAGCTGATTCCACAAACCACCTACTTTTTTTATTTCACACCCCCCCACCAGCTACCTCCTATATAAGTTCTCATAGGCTTTCTTCCTGCAGACTGCCCTCTTTGCTGACCTTGAGAGTATAAATCAAACCTGAGTTGGGAGCTATCTTAAACAGCTCCTCATCTTTTGACCCCCTTCCAATTGCTTGGAACTTCAGAGGTTTCTTTTATTGGCCAGCCAGGCATGTCAGCGATACCACCTCTATGGCTTGCATCCCAGCGTCCAAAGCCCTAAGGAATGCTGGGAAGAGGGGGGGGCGCTAGCTTCAGGCTCCAAACAAATTAACAACTTTTCAAACTTCGTGTATTTCAATTATATAAATCAAATCTTGCCAAAATATACAGGATGCCCTCACCCCTTACCCTGGGTAACCTCCGATCCCTGCCATTATCCTGGGCCTTCCCTTCTGCCTCCCCCAGTGCCTCCCTAGCCATTCCCAGCCCCACTTCCCAACCCTTCCTCCAGACCCCAGTGACTCCTGCTGCTCTGACCTCTTACTGCCAACAGCTCTAAGATAAAAGCTCCCAGGCCCCAGCACACTCACTCCCTCCCAAATGCTAGTCTCAGGGGGACCCACACTGTACCAGGCCCTGCTTCCCAGCCAGATTGGAATCAGGTGCTCCAGCCCTTGTAATCAGAACCAGACCAGACCTCCTAGCCTTTGCCAAAGGCAAGATGAGCTCCAAGGATTTCGCTGAGTGATGGAGCAAAAGATGGCTTTAGAGCCACAGTGCTGACTGGCTGGCTGCTTTGAGCAGGTACCAGGCAATAAGCCTTGGCAGGAGCTTCTCAGAATAACCACCCCCACCCCCGGCCGGCCCCCACTTTTCATCCTGGAAATTCCAGTGGGAAGGGTGACAGCAGGGCAAAGATTTAGAAATGCTCCCTGCTAAGGATCGCTGGGTTCGGCAGTAGGCTCACAGCATCCGGACAGGACAGGCAACCCCATCTCATCCGACCCACTTTCTACCTTCACCTCCAGAGTGCCAGAACTCAAAACAGCCCCATGGCTAGTGGGCTCAATTCCAGAGCTTCCTATGGACACTGAAAAAGGGAATGCGGTTAGACCATAGAAGGGACTTCCATTGGGAAGTCTGGGATTTGCGTGAACCACCATAGCCCAACTCCCGAAGTAGGGCAATGGGTGCCGTGACTGAAGCTGCTTGAGGGTGGAAGTGGGTGCTGTGAGTCTTCAGCTGAGGCCTTTGGGGGAAGAGGTGGCGGAGACGCCTCCCCGTGAGGCGGAGCGGCAGGAGGCGCTGTCCGGTGGCCGGGCCACCAGTTAAGTAGCACCAGGTGTTTCCACCCGCGTCTGGCGCACACACCCCGCGGGCCAGGCCCAAGGCAGTCCTGAAGCGGGTCAGGCCGGACGTCACGCGTCCCAGCTTCTGCGTCTGTCTTTCTGACTCACGCGGATTCTCTTCGCCTGGGCGCCTGCGGCCTGTGGCTTCTCCGACTTCTTTTACTGCGACACCTCTCTCACTGGCCCTCTGAGACTGTCCCCGTTCCGTGGCCCGCGGGTGCAGAGCCGTCCCCAAGCTCTCTCCGCCTCCCCGGGTGTGCGCGGCCCGGCGCGGCCCGGCCTGGGCCAGGCTGCGCGCTCTCCCACTGCGCTTTGTGATGTGGGTTCGCGGGAGCAGGAGGGGGCGGGGAGCGGGC